CTGTTTTCCGCGCCCCGCGGCTTCCGCCACGCCCCCACAAGCCTTCTTCTCACTAAGCTTTGGGAAAGGATATTGAGGGTCATACACATGCATACTCTTTAACTCATTGATACCATTTCTAAGAATTTGACCTGAAGAAATAAACAAGGAAGGACAAAGCCATATGCACAACGCTGTTTATCACCGGTTTATCTGTAACAGCTAAAGAACTGTCTTCCAGGAACCTCCCGAGGAGGTGGTGAGGAAAGCCCTGGATGTCATCACCATTGCAGTTCCTCCTGCTCTACCTGCTGCTCTGACCACAGGCATTATCTATGCCCAGAGGAGGCTGAAGAAGAAAGGCATCTTCTGCATTAGTCCCCAGAGGATCAATGTATGTGGACAACTAAACCTTGTCTGCTTTGACAAGGTACGTAGGTTTCATCCTCACTCTCGCCATCATTTTTATCCTCATTGTCATCATGTACAGGTGCTTTTACCCTCTCACGAGGCAGGGAATACAGGATGTGGTTTCCTGATTCCTTGATGTCTGGTAGGGTGCATGATCTGGGAAAGACATGTCTCTTAAGTTCTCAGGTTCTGGGGTTCAGAGAAGCGGGGAGTAGAGTCTGTATAGGTGAATCTTTCAGGATCCTCCCAACTTTCCTATTCTATAAAAAAGGATTCATTAAAATAATATGCTGTCCCAGGGCAGGCTGGTGGCATGGTCGATCCCACTAAGCAGCTAGATCCCACTTAGCGGATAGCATGGTTTGTGCCCCAGACCTGGTGACTTGTAAGGCACACTGACCACATGCGCTGTCTGTCTTGTAAACATATGTCCTACAGCAAAATGGAGAAGGAAAAATAGTATGCTGTTCTTCCGCAATCAAAACCCTTGTACAAAGAACAAAATTAAAAACATTTATGACAATCTTCGCTGTATTCCAAATACTAAGATGACTGCCTGACATGTAGACAGTGTTCAATAAATATTTACTGAAGTAATGAATGAATACAGAAGGAGTTGATTAAACTGTTTCCCTGTAAGTCTCAATTAAAATAAAGCCCCATATCAAGCTCTTACTGTATTTCTCTTTTTATCTTTAATTATTTATTTACATTTTTAATTTGAACAGAGAGAGACAGAGCAAGAGAGCGAGAGTGGGAGCGAGAGAGCGAGAGAGCGAGAGAGCGAGAGTGAGAGAGAGAGAGAGAGAGAAAATGAAACTGAGAAAGCAAGCCACCAGGTCCGGGTCAGCCATGTGAGAGTCCAGAGCCCTTAACCACCATGCCACCTGCCAGCCCCAAGCTCTTACTGTATTTCTCCATCCATAATTTATTATTTAAAACTTCCCTTGATTATCTGCCTGTTATTCCCTGCCAGCCTCTTATTCTACCTTCTCTAATGTACTTTTTAATAGGTATACATATCTGATGGGGTGAAGGTGGGGGCTGTAAAATGATAAAATTACGTGAAGGGCATGCAGGTAGTGACCGTGGGTGTGGTTTTGACCAGAGCAGGACATTAGCAATGGGAGAAGGTATCTGTGGACACCTCAAATACCTTACTAAGAAATTTAACGTGCACTTTAGGCAGTGAGGAGCCATTGTAGGTTTTTGTCTTTGTTGTTGCCTTCTTTTAATTTGTTTTAAAAATTGTGGTAAAATATGCACAACACGAGATTTCGCATTTTCATCATTTTTAAGTGCACAGACCACTGGCGGTAAGTGTATTTTCACTACCATCATCCGCCTCAAGAGCTTTATTCATCTTCCAAAACTGAAGTCCATACTCATTAAATGGCACATAAAAGTTTTGACGGAAGAGAATTTCTAGGGTTATTAGGATCACAGCTGTTTTTATAGCTACTGGAGTATCAGAGATCTGCCATTATTTTGTGATTGAACTGGCATCCTAAGGATAGACATCCTGTTTATGAGAGCATATTATCCTTGTACTTGGAAAAAGGAACGGAGTGGGAGAGGTGGTTGTGGCCTGACTTTGGATGAAACGTGAGCCCTACTCGGGAGTGTGTCACTGCTACTAGCTCTTACTGTAGGCTAAGTATTAAACTAAGAACTTCACTCGGCTCATTTAATCTTCCTGACACCTCTGTGAGATCGTGACCACATTACAGACAGGGGCTCTGATACTTAGAGAGGCTAAGTAGCTTGCCCAGGTCACAGCTGGTGTTCCAACTTCGTCTGAACTCTTCACCGCTGCACGGTACCTTTTTACTACGTAGGCGTCAACCAGAAAACCACGTCTGTGGAGTCTTTGCACAAACAGTGCCCTGTAGATAAACATCCTACTCCATTACGTATTTCTGATGATGCACTTTTAACCCCTCGTATAAAAGCGGGGACTCACCATTTCATAGCTTTTACAGGCTTCCCAAGGACTTTCCCATCCACTCAGTCTACCACTCGGTCTGCTGAGCGATCCTATCACACGTATAAGGAGGATACTGTTTTCTTCTCTTTACCACGAAGGACACTCAGGTTTAAAGAGGTTAAATACCAGCTTGTCATACAACTGGTATGAGGTCATTGATGCTTCTGGTGACATTTACCCTTCTCATTGGGGCCCTCTGTAAGTGCTGGCCTTGATCAGATCCCGTGACATGCATTTTCCCATCAAATCATACCTTCTTCGTCTTACCTTGGGGGCCACTAGATCTTCCGAGTAAACTGACTGTGTGTTTCTGTTTAGACAGGCACCTTAACGAGGGATGGCTTGGACCTTTGGGGAGTCGTGCCCTGTAATAAGAATGGGTGAGTTCCTTGGGCTAAATGCATGGCCTTCTCTTTTTCCAGAATTCCATGTTTTCTTTTGAAAATACTAATGGAGACATTTGAGCTTTGGCTTTGGTAAAATATCCTCCATTGACTTTCTCCTATTGAAGTCTTCTAAATCTCACTGAAATGTGTGTTTCTCCTACCCTATCCCGTCGAAAGCCACTCACAAACCCAGGAGATGAAGGGAAAGATTGGCATTTCTTTCAGATCCTTGCTAAAATGTAACTTGCCTTCAACATACAAGCATAGACAACAGACATGGCACCAGGGGCCCGAGCTGGCTCCGTGTAAGTAATTTGGGCAACACCGGGATATTGTCCTCTGAGGAGATAACATTCTTGGTACAAACTGAAGTCTTTCAATGCGCTAGGAGGAAGAGCACTGCACTGACTTTCGTTCCCTGAATTTCAGGAAGAGGAACATAGCCAGTGTGCTCATTTTCCCTGGTATTCTGATTCTGGGAAGGTCACCGAACTAGCAAGCGAGGACTCTGAGTAGTGTTCCACGTGGTGTGGTAGATTCACACGCCCCTCTGTTGTGGCCCTCTTGTGGTCATGCCCGAGTTTGCCTTTCTGCTTGCTTTTTCTCCCCACTATGACCTCCAGTGTGACAAGATCAGGAAATGTGATGCATTTGATATGTCTATTTTATTTTAAATGAGTTTTTCACCCCAAATGAAAAGTAATCTGTTGATAATTATGTATATGGTAATATATTTGACTTGATTAATATACACTGTATTCATGCTTGGAAAAACTGTTGTACATTGCAAAAAAATTTTTTTGAACTTAAAAATATACATACCACAAATACATAGGGGATCAGCAGGTGGTGTGGTGGTTAAGGCGCTGGACACTCCAACATGGCCAACCACAGTTCGAGTCCTGGACCAGGTGGCTTCCTTTCTAACTTTGCCTCTCTCTCTCTTTCTGTGTATCTCTCTCTGGTCACATTAAAATAAATGGATGAATAAATAAAATTAAATAAATAATTCTTTAAGGGACAAGCAGCTAGCATAATGGCTGTGCCGCTGAACTCCCATGTAGTCGACTGTGGTTCGAGTCCCGGCCCTGGAGGCGTGCGTACGTGCCCAAGATCCCGAGAGGAGAATGGAGGAGAAGGGATTGTGGTGTGGCCATCCCCCCTGGGGGCTGATTTCTCACTTTCTATCTCTCTGTCTCTCTCTGTCTTTCTGGTGAGTGCATGTGCCCTATAGCAAAAACCTCTAAAAAATAATTATTTAAAAAATACATACATATTGGGAACCAGCAGTTAGCGTAATGGCTATGTCGCTGGATTCCCACGTAGTCGACCGCGGTTCGTGTCCCGGACCCGGTGGCTTAAAACTCACGCCGGGCACGTGTGCGTGCGTGCCCAAGATCCCGAGAGGAGAATGGAGGAGAAGGGATTGCGGCGTGACCATCCCCCCTGGGGGGTGATTTCTCGCTTTCTGTCTCTATGCCTCTCTCTGTCTGTCTGGCGAGCGCACGCGCCCTACAGCGAAAATCTCTCCAAAAAAAAAAAAAAAAAAAACAAACAAAAAAATCCCATACATATTAAATAAATAAAAAAGAAATTTAAAAATTACAAAAAGAGAAATGAATGTTTCCCTCTAACACTTGCAGCCTAAATCAAGAAACATATACAGGGAACCAGCAGTTAGTGTAATGACTATGTCACTGGACTCCCACGTAGTCGACCACGGTTCGCATCCCGGACCCGGTGGTTTAAAACTCACGCCGGGCGCGTGTGCATGCATGCCCAAGATCCCGAGAGGAGAATGGAGGAGAAGGGACTGCAGCGTGACCATCCCCCCTGGGGGGTGATTTCTCACTTTCTGTCTCTCTGTCTCTCTCTGTCTGTCTGGCGAGCGCACGTGCCCTATAGCGAAAACCTCTCCCAAAGGAAAAAAAAAAAAAGAAACGTATACATAAAAACACAGTACAGCTCTTTTGTGTTATGCAGATGATATACAATTTAACCATAAAAATATGTTTACTTACACATACATTGTAATATTAAAATACTATTTATAAGTCTGGCCTTGTAACCTAGAGGTTAAGGGAACTAGATCCCATGTAGCCAATTGCAGTTCAAATCCCAATCAGTGGCTGAAAAAGCATGCCAGTGCATAAGCATGTGTGTCCAAAATCCCAGCAGGAGGACCATGCCAGTGCATAAGCATGTGTGTCCAAAATTCCAGCAGGAGAAGGATTGTGGCATGCATGCCTCACTGTGGGTGCTTGCTCGCTTCCTCTCTTTGTCTCTCTCTCTCTGGCAAGCACAAATGCCCTCAAGTAGTAAAAAAAACCTTGCTGTTTTTAAATAGGTCCGTTTCCTGGGTTAAAAAAAAAAAACAAAACTGGTCCTTTGAACCCCTTTCATCTATAGGAAATTTTTTATAAGTATTAACATTTCTGAAGGTCTTTTTAATCCCAGAAGTTGGATTGAAATAGGGGGGGCCGGCAGGTAGCATGGTGATTAAGAACGCTGTATTCCCATATGTCTGATAGCAGTTCGAGTCCCAGACTCGGTGACTTGCTTTCTCGCTTCCCTTTGTTTCTCTTCTCTGTCTCTCTCTAGTCAAATTAAAATAATAAAACTAATTATAATAACCTATGGAATTAAATAAATAAGTCATTCTTTTATTTTTAGTTTTATTTTTTTGTGAAGAGGTTTTTTGCTATAGGGCACGTGCACTCGCCAGAAAGACAGAGAGACAGAAAGTGAAAAATCACCCCCCAGTGGGGATGGCCATGCCGCAATCCCTTCTCCATTCTCTTCTTGGGATCTTGGGCACACACACACATGTGCCCGGCATGAGTTTAAGCCACCGGGTCCGGGACTCGAACCGTACATGGGAGTCCAGCGACATAGCCATTATGCTAACTGCTGGTCCCAATAAGTCATTATTTTTTTTAAAAAAGAAATATACACAAGGGACATCAAAATGTTCACGGAGGGTGGCCTGTGGTGTGGTGGTTAAGGTGTCTGGATCCCGTAGTCACAATGCAGTTTGAGTCCCAGATCCAGCAACGTGAGAAATGCACTGGGCACATGTGTGAGCATGCCCAGCGTCCCACCAAGGAGGGAGAAAGGTGGGAGAGGGGATTCGGGTGTAACCGTTCACCATGGAGTGGGCAGAGGGTGCTTTCTCATTTTGTCTTTTCCTCTGTCTCAGTGAGTGCATGTGCCCTCTGGCAAATCAGTTTTTAAAACGTTCATTGAAAAATAAAGTATAAGTTTATTTTTTATGTAAAAAATTAAAAAATGTAGGGTTGGCAGGTGGTGTGGTGGTTAAGGGTGCTGGACTCCCACATGGTCAACTGTGGTTCGAGTCCAGCACCTGGTGGTTTGCTTTCTCACTTTTCCTCTCTCTCTCTTTCTCTCACTCTGTCCCTCTCTAGTCAAATTAAAATAAATCGATAAAGTTAAATAAAATAATTCTTTAAAAAAATTTAAAATGTATGCAGAGTTTTTTCATAATATACACTTTCCATAAAATTTTGAAGACCTTTCATATCTTGTCTCCTGGGTCATTAGTGTTGTGCCATTTAAGCCTCTACAAAAAGAGTATGCATTTAAGGGCCAGCAGGTGACATAGCAGTTAAGGTACTGGACTCCCACAGTTAACCGTGGTTCTGGTCCTGGACCTAGAGGTTTGAAACTCACGCCTGCAGCATGTGCGTGTGTACCCAAAATCTCAAGAGGAGAATGGAGGAGAAGGGATTGCGGCATTGCTGTCCCCTGTGGGGGGGTGACTTTTTGCTTTCTGTCTCTCTTTGTCTCTGGCAAAAATCTCTAAAAATACAAACAAAAGCACAAACAAACAAAAACCAAGTATGTATTTATTCAAATATATAAGCATCTCAAGACCAGGTTTTTTCTTTTTTCTTTTTTTTGTCACAGGTCATGTGTACTCATCAGAAAGACACAGAGGAGAGAAAGGTAGAAAGCACCCTTCTCTCCTGATGAGACGTGATCATGCCTCAGTCCCTTCTTTTTCCCGTCCTGTTGGGATTTTGGGCACCAACTATTATCTGTGCACAGATAGCCAGCCTGTTTTCAAGCTTCCAGGGGCCAGGGTTTGAACTACTGTCAGTAATGTGGGATCGAGCTCCTTTAACCACTAGGCTATGAGGCTTGCTCAGCTTTGATACAACGTTTAGGTCGCCCATTGATAACCTGGTGCCAGCCTACTTGCCTGCCCAGTTGTCCTCTTTCCTTCCCTCTGAAAGATCAAAGTTGGCTTTAAATGATTGAAACAAAAATTGAGAGCTAAAAGAATTATAATTTAAAAATGGATACATTTAGTCAATAAAATGAACGAAAACAAATTTCATTATAGGTGAGGTATCAGAACCTGACTTATAGGCTATTAAATATCTTTTTGTTAAAGGTGAATTCATCTCTAATAATTCTTATTTTATCTAAAAATGATCTCATCAGTGTGCTGGGTATTTCAAAAACCAGTTCAGGCTACCTGTGCATGATAAGTCATAAATAGTCCAGTGAAAACACAAGGGCAATGATGACAAGGAGCTCTATGTATTGGTTTTGCTCACCAGAATCTGACCCAACCCTCCAGGACTCAGAATTATATAACTCACAATAACACACAGATGACAATGTGTGCATCAGTATACAAATGAGACTTTTTCCTGATGTGCATTTTGGTTTTCAGTGTGAGTTTAAGCTCCCGTGTTAACCATACACTGTGGATGAATTGCCTTTTTAGATGTCTACCAAAATACCGTGGGCTGTGTTGTAAGCCCCTAAAATGACTTGCTCTTTCGACATGTAGTAATAGAGAGGACTAATGAAGTCAGTAATAAGCAGGAAGGTTTTGAACTCTTCGTATAACAAAAGGAAACTTGGATGAAAAACCTGAAAGAAGCTAAGCAAGATTATGAGCTAACATTGTGATATGGATGGATGATTTCAAAACCAGAGGGCAAAGAAATCTATGCTGGATT